GAGTTTCTACACACACGTGCTGCGACGGCCTTGCCTTTGCGGCACTCACGGTCGTCTCGGCTGGCCTCGTGGGGTGTGAGGCGCGACCTGTGCTGCCGGGCCTGGGCCTCGTCTGCCTGCAGCGTGCTTACGGCGCGCAGCTGCACTTTGCCCCTCGGAGCATCTCCCCGGCCTTGAACGAAGACAGTGCCTGGAAGATAAGAGCAGTGTCCCGTGTGTAGGGAAGGCCCCTTCCTTGGCTGGGATTATCTGCAGGGTTTTCTTGTGTTGAGTGTTTATGCAAATCCCAGGGCTGCCCTTGCCTGGCTGTGAGTGCCTTGCTGACTGAGGTCTTCCCGACCTGCTCTCTTCAGTTCACACTGGGCTTCCTCCCTCCTCCTCCTCTCCCTGTGGGGAGGAGCCAGGCTGCACACAGCAGGAAGGCGTGGTGACCCTGCAGGTTTGTGTCTTGGTTTAGTTTTTTTATCTGCTTAGTTTTTCCAGGTCTAATTAGGGTTTCCTCTGGGTGGTTGTCCGTCTGCCCTGTGTCATGGCCGGGGGGCCTGGAGACTCGTGGTCAGAGCATGGTGGCCACCCCACGGCCCCAGCCCAGTCAGCCCCAGGTCACGAGCGCAGTGGTCAGAGGTGCTGGCTGTGCTGGGCTCCCAGGGTGCAACAGCCGTGCCCGGGTCATCCCGTCCAGGCCCTCAGCAGGGGCCTTCCTTTTCCTCCTTGCTAAGAGATGAGAATGTGTCACTAAAAGCAGTTAGGGTAAAATTCCTGAGAGCACGTAGTAGTCAATGCGCTAGAATGTTTTACATTTGAGATAATTTTCCGTAATGTAAAAAATACTGATTTTGGAAAACTTTGTAAGGAATTAGAAGGAGAAGTAAGGAAGAGGGTTTGGCTGGAGATGCCTACGGCTGTCACCCCCCGGCCTTGTCCGTTGACAGGTAGCGTCTTGTTCTGCCTGTTGCCACACTGGCACGTGGGCGTTTTGTCCAAGTGAATTTTTTTTTGGCGGGGGGGAGGGACAGAGTCTCACTTTGTTGCCCAGGCTAGAGTGAATGCCGTGGCGTCAGCCTAGCTCACAGCAACCTCAGACTCCTGGGCTCAAGCAATCCTCCTGCCTCAGCCTACCGAATAGCTGGGACTACAGGCATGCACCACCATGCTCAACTAATTTTTTGTATATATATTTTTAGTTGGTCAATTAATTTCTTTCTATTTTTAGTAGAGACGGGGTCTTGCGCTCACTCACACTGGTTTTGAACTCCTGACCTCGAGCAGTCCCACCCGCCTTGGCCTCCCAAAGTGCTAGGATTACAGGCGTGAGCCACCATGCCCGGTCAAGTGAAATTTTTTTAATGAGCTCTTTGCTGGTTGTCCACTATTCTTCCCAAGACCCTGCCACTGACATTGGCGACTCCAGCTGTGCATCCAAGTCTGCAGCCGCGCCTTTCACGGCGTGGGTCCCAGGTCTGGGAGATCCCACCTGGGTTCGGTGCATTGACATCTGGTTTCAGAAGTCTCCAGAGTGACCCCAGACCGACTTAGTTCTTGCATCATCCGCTGGTTTGCTGTCTCCAGATACTAGTGATACCTGCTACATATTTGCATATTCTGAATATTTTCACTTAATTTTTAAACTTAAATGTATTTTAGAGGAAATCTTACATCATTATTGTAAAGCAAACACCAGGTGGTTTATCACAGTGAGTCATTGTGTGATCAAGTCAGAAATAACAAGGGTCAGTTGTGCGGTGATTGCAGCCGTGCTCCGGGGAGCGTGGATTCCGTGGACTGGACTCCATGTGGGGTGCACCCTGGAGCAGCCCCGTTCAGAATGGGGGCTGACTCCCCCTGTCCAGAACCTGCAGGAGAGACTAATGACACCGTCCAGGCCTGGGGCTGGCCCTGGTGTTCTAAGTGCCAGTTCATTTTGAAATTCAATGTTACTAACTCCAGAGGGAGAGAAAGATTCTTCCTGGGGAGAAACGTTGACTCTCAGAGGTTGTGCGGGGTCCGCGGTGGTGCATCTGCAGCTCTGGCTAGTTTACTTTCCGAGCTGGGCGTGGGGCCAGCTCAGCACTCCTGGCTCCTGCCCTGGCTGTGTCCAGAGGGGAGGGTGGCCACTGATCGCCGTCTTGCTTCCTGTCCATTCTCTCTCCCTGTGGTGGTAGGGCTGCACCGTCCTCATGACTGTTGGCTGTTCCTTTTCCTGCTGTGCTTTTAGGATAAGAGTACACAGGAAGTGTAAAGGTGAAAGTAGCTACCTAGTGGCCCGTGACAGGTGGGATCATCAGACAGGTTTTCACTTCCTTCCCAGATTACTTTTCCAGGGACACCTGGATGTGGCAATAGTTCTTGGGGTTCTGGGCTGAGATGACAGGGACTTCAGCCTTGATTTAGTGTGCGCTTGGGGAAGTTTTAAATGTTTGCTGTTGCTTCCGTCCTGGCTTCTCAGCAGGTAGTAGGCTTGGTGTTTGCTGGCTGGTTGGTTAATTAAACAGAAGTTCTGAAAATATATACAGGCAATTGGCCAGACATGGTGGCTCACACGTGTAATCCCAGCACTCTTGGAGGCCGAGGCAGGAGGATCACTTGAGGTCAGGAGTTTAAGACCAGCCTGAGCAAGAGCAAGACCCCATCTCTACCAAAAATAGAAAAGTTAGCCAAATGTGGAGGCATGTGCCTGTAGTCTCAGCTCCTTAAGAGGCTGAGACAGGAGGATCGTTGAGCCCAGGAGTTTGAGGCTGTAGTAAGCTGTGATGAAGCCATGGCACTCAAGCCTGGGGCAACAAAGTCAGACTCTGTCTTGAGGGGAAAAACAAAAACAGGCAATGTTGTTTCTGTGTCAACGTGTGACTATAAGTAGATGTCACAGCAAAGCTAGATGTGAGTAAAACGCTGGTGGCCGAGAATCCCACTCACAGTAAAGCAGCCTGAGCAAGAGCGAGACCCTGTCTCTACTAAAAATAGAAAGAAATTAGTTGGCCAACTAAAAATATATAGAAAAAATTATCCAGGCGTGGTGACACATGGCTGTAGTCCCAGCTACTCAGGAGGCTGAGGCAGGAGGATTGCTTGAGCCCAGGAATTTGAGGTTGCTGTGAGCTAGGCTGACGTCACGGCACTCACTCTAGCCTGGGCAACAGAGTGAGAGTCTGACTCAAAAAAAAATTTTGTTTTTTAAAGACAGGACCTTTTATGCAGAAAACTGTTACCCTTTACTGACACCCCTAAAGGAAGACACGAATGAATGGCCATGCTGTTGATAGGTTTCACCGCAGAGCCCGGTAGGCAGGGACAGCTGTGAGGAAGTTCTGCGGGGGGTACACGTGGCACCAAGGAGTCCAGAAGTCAAGTGTTGGTGACTTTGGGGGTCTGTGGGCCCGGGTGCAGGTGCGAGCACAGCAGGGGAGGCGGGCAAGCAGGGCTGTAGCCCACCGTGCGCTTGGAAGGAACGAGGGACTCACATCAAGGGCGGCGTCACACACCCCGAGAGGCAGATGGCCTGGGAAAAATGGCATCCGGGGTCCAAGCGCTGGCATGCAAAGAGCTTGTTAGAAAACAGGCAGAGGGCAAGAGCGGAGAGCTCAGAAGATATAAGCAAACACAGAAGCGGTGCCCATCGCAGACGCAGAGTGGAGCCGCGGAGAGCCGTTTTCCCTTCCCGCACCTGTGGGATCCGTGGGCAGGGTGCTGGGCATGGGAGTGAGGTGGGACGGGTGCAGGCTGCGGGCAGGTGTCCTGGTTATCTTCACCAACACTCACCAAGGACCTGCAGTGTCTATCTGCTTTGACCACTGTGTCCATTTCTTACGGATTTTCCCTAAAAAAAATCAGATGTCCACAAAGATTGATATAAAAAAGTTCATTTTAAGGTTGCGTGTGTTTTGTAAAAGGTAGAAACAGCTAACAGTATAGAAGTGTCTAGATTACGTGACATCGGAGTCGGTTATTACGCAGGCAGGAAGCCCCCGTCTCGCAGTGTGTGGCGTGGGGGGAGGGAGGGGCTCCCGCTCACAGCCGGGTCTGTGTGTGCGCGTGTATGTGCGCACGCGTGTGTGCGATGAAGTAGAACGTAAAGGAGATGCACAGGGTGCTGCACGTTGGCTGTCCTCGTAGAGTGAGGGAGCAGGTGGTTTTTATTTCCTTATTTTTACTTTGTCATGTTTTCCAAAATTTTTAAGTGAACTTATATGGTGTTTCAATAATTAAAAATATAGATTTTATAGGATCTGCAGATACTCTCATATTAAGCATTTACATTTTCAGTTTTTCTCTACTCATAACTGAAATGAAGCTACTTTGTTATTGGTTCTGGGGCCATGAGTTTTGGGTCTCTTTAAAGGTGTACGTTTGGATTTAGGGACCAATTCAGAGATGTGGGTGTTCCTGGCAGGCGCTGAGCCGCCTTCCTTCCCAGGCAGGAGCCCCGGGGCTGTGCGCCCACTTGCTCTGCTCGGTTTCCTCCCTCAGGGCTGGTTGGCCGCCCTCCCTCAGCCCTGTATCTCTTTAAACATCAGTCAGAGAGCAAGGAAGATATTTAAGGCTTGGGTCTGTTAGTCACAAACTTTTTTATTGCATTTGAAAACAAGAGGTGATTTTTTTTCCTCTTAATTTCTTAAATATTCATTATGCGCCTGCCATGTGGCAGCGCTAGAGACAAGGTATCAGAGGGGCAGACACCATCCCTGTCCCTCCCAGAGCTAACAGCACAGTCTCTGTCTCCTTGGGAAGATAAAGTAATGACACCCCCAGAAAGTGACTGTCATTCTGGTTAGTGGGGGTGGGGGCGAGGGGTGTTCTCCTGAAAACAAGACATTCGAATTGTGACTGTGTATGGCGGGAGCCCTGCTTGTCCTGTTGAGAAGTTCTGTAAGTGGAACGTCTGTTGCCTCTTCTTCCCTGAACAAGCCCACTGTGCAGTCCCGCCCCCTAGCTTCCCTCAGCCAGACAGCATGGCTGTGAAACGGAAGGTGGCCCGAGAGTCCCTAACTCCTCTGTGATTTTAGCCGTCAAGCTGAGCCACCAAAGAAGGAGGCAGCCTCCACAGGGCCGCAGGTGAAGCGGGCAGACGAGTGGAAGGACCCGTGGCGCCGATCCAAGTCCCCCAAGAAGAAACTCGGGGTCTCCGTCTCCCCTAGCCGGGCACGTAGGCGTCGGAAAACATCAGCCTCATCAGCCTCCGCCTCCAACTCCTCCAGGTAACGAGGCTGGCTGTGCGCGGCTGTGACGCCCGGGAGCGCAGCCACGCTCTACACCACTGCCCTGACCCCCGGCCACGCCCACTCGCTGGGTCAGGCGGGGACACCCTGGCCAGACTGTTCCTCTCGGCGTCGTTGCCTGAGGAAAGTCAGGACTGAACAGGCACTTGTGCGGTCGGCAGAGCCCCAGTGCCAGGCAGGACTGACGCCTAGAGCCCCGTGAGGCTTCACGCTCCTCCAGAGCAAACCGGCAGCATCAGCCAGGACGCGGCAGCCCACGGTGGGGCGCAGGCCCCAGTGAGCCAGCCTCGCCGCCTTCGGGGATTCACACGGCCACGCTGGAGGGAGGGGCGGGGGCTGGAGACCAGGAGGGCTGTGCGGGACCCTGGGGCCTGGCTAGCGTGCTTCTCTGGGGAGTCGGGTCAGAGCTCCGAAACCCTCGCGTGTGGTCAGGCTGGGGCACACAGCAAGCGAGTGGTGCGGCTGGGCCAGGCCTCGCTCCCCGGAGAGAAGGGGCCGGGGGCCCTGCGGTGCCCACTGGGAGGTCAGGGTTCCTGGTGGACGCGGGTGGCAGGGGCAGCGCAGACACAGCTGGCTCTGTCCACTCGGCACACGTGATGCCCAGCACTGGGTTTCCAGACACCGTTCTCCACTGAGGGGCCTGGACTGCATCGTGTCTGTGTGTGTGTGAGCGTGTGCAGCCATGTGGTCCAGGTCTGCGCTGGGGAACTGCGTGTCCCGTGCGCAGTACTAAGCGTCAGGTCCCTCTCTCACCACGCTTCCCTCCCCCTTCACGCCACAGGTCGTCTTCGAGGTCTTCGTCCTACTCCGGCTCTGGCTCCTCGAGGTCGCGCTCCCGGTCCTCGTCCTACAGCTCCTACTCCAGCCGGTCCTCCAGACACAGCTCGTTCTCAGGGAGCCGGTCCAGGTGCGTCCCCAGGCCCGGGCAGGGCCTGCAACCCCACCGGAGCTGGGCACGACTGCGCTCGGTGGCAGGTGGCTGTCTGCTGGGCGCTTGTTTTCAGAGCGTGCTCAGTGAGTGGCATGTCTGGTGGCAAGTTCTGAAGACGGTGTGTGGCGGGTGCCAGAGTCCCTCCCGCGTGGGTGCGCGTGGAGGCGATGGCGTGGCGCGGACCCTCCGTGGAGTCAGAGGCACAGCCCTGGGTGTCACAGCTCCAGCCACGCCCTCCAGAACCACACCGTGCCCTGGGGGCCCCGGCTGAAACTTGCACGCGACGCACGTTGAGTGCTCAGCGGCCGGGTGCAGCTGGTGTCTGTCGTTTTGCATAGCACAGATGTGGAATGTTTGCATCATCACAGAAAGCTCTAGAAGGTTTGAACAACTTTGTCGTATTTTTCGCATTGAAAAGGGAATTTTAGACAAATCTTGGTTGCCATATGTGTAGAAGACAGCAGTCACAGGTTAATGCATCGAACGGGACGTTTACCAGCACATGTTAGCGCCCCACACCCACCTGCCTCCCACAGGAGCGTCTCGCCGGTGCAGTCCCTGCTGTCTGGCTCTGCCGCGCGGGAACCCCCTGCTCCCCACTCCCCGCTCCCCCGTCAGCACAGGAGAGACCCAGGCCAGAGGGAGACTGCGAGTAGAGGCGGCCCAGCCGTCTGGGCTGCCGCCTCTGTGAGAGCCCAGCGCCCAGCTCTGCCCGGTCAGGCCCTGTGCCCGTCCCCCTGCCCCTGCAGGCCGTGTGGGCAGGAGGGATCATGATCCCAACCCCTGAACAGACCCCACACCCTCTCCCCTGCTGCTTCCGGAAGCGTTAACCCCAGACTCCTGGAGTAAAGCTGATCACCCTCCTGGCAGATGGTTATTGGGGCGCAGTGGCAAGGGGGTTGGGCGGCAGTGGGTGATGGCTGCGCAGTTGAGTCTGGGCTGGAGCACGGACTGGAGATGGTGTGTGGGACCCGTTTTCCATGGCGTCAGGTCTCTGCAGAGCAGCAGAGAGCTGTGAGGTGTCCTCAGGGTCGGCTGTGGGCGCCCTGGGGGCAGGACCGAGCCTGGGTCTCACCACGTCCTGGGCTCTGGGGAAAGGTGAGCTCGGGCACTTGGGACTGCCATCTGCCAGAAACAGGCCCGTGAGGCATGGGAAGAAGCTTGAGCCAGGCTGCGAAGTGTGGGCCTCTGGAAATGTGAAGTCGCGGTGGTGTAGGGGAGACAGTTGAGTGTGACCTGTGTTCTGGGTCCAGTCGACAGTCTCAGGGTAGAGCCTGAGAACAAAGCCGGTGACATCGCCTTCCATCGAGGCTGGGGACGCCAAGCCAGGGGCGGCTGTGATGAGCAAGGGCAGGAAACGGGCACAGGCAGGCACGGCCGGGCGGCCTCCCTCAGAGGGCAGGGAGGGTCCAGCGTCGCAGGCGGGCACCACTGGGCCTTTGCCCTCTGTCACCGGTTCTCCGTAGGTTCCACTTGATTCCTGTGTCAGCGTCACAGTGTTCTCTCACTTAGAGCGTAAGCCTCTCAGCTGGCTCTGCCTCTCTCCCTGCGCGGCCTCCACTTGGGTGGTAAAGCCCGGGTGAGGCCGAGCAGGGACTCCTGGTGGGTCCGACCCTGTGCCCTCCCTTGCGCACACCTGTGCGGTCACTGAAGCCCGAGGGCCAGGCGTCCTTCCACCACGGGCCCTGGGTCCTCGGGTGGATGGAGGCAGAGGTCGCCTCTGCCCAGAACCTCACGCCACAAGGAGACCTTGACCAGGCCCGGGCTTGGTGGCTGTTTTCTCCGAGGCTCAGCTACAGTGACCCTTCAGGGAAGGGTGACAGGAGGCCTGGGCTGGGAGCGGCTGGTGGTGCCGCCTTGTGCGGTCCCACAGGAGCCACTCGGGTGCAGCTTCAGGCCAGGCCTTGCTTGCTGGGCCTCCGGGGCAGGCAGCCCAGCAGGTGGGGCAAGTGCAGGCCATGAGCAGGTGGCTGTCCCGTGCAGCTCTGGCACTCTTGGCGTGCCTGGCTGCAAGAGCCCAGGCCTGTCCCATTGCACCTGTTGGTACTGCTTGTCTGGAAATGTTGACAATCCCACATGATGTTTTTTAGGCTGGGGGGAGATAGACCCCTGAGCCTCTCCCCTCCTGCCTCACGTACAAGTTAGGAAGCCTGAGGTGTCAGGCACGGTGGAACCAGCGCACCCCGAGGCGCACCCAAGCCAGCCTGGGCTCCCCCAGCAGCCTGGCCACCTCCTGGGCGCTCATCCACCTGCCAACGCTGGAAACACGTCACAGTCCAGCTGGAGCCCCCCTCCCACACGCCTGGCCAGTCCTGACTCCCCAGCTCTCAGCTGCCAACCACTGGGTCTCTTGGGTCCCCCCTCAGCCCAGACCTCACCCGCCCCATCTGCCTGTGGCCCCGTGGCCAGACCAGGCCGAGTCCCATAGGTGTTTCCATGGGTGCGTGAGCCATGTTCCCACCCTGTCAAGAGCAGCGTCTCCCCTCCCTCGTACCTCCCCCTGATCTCCCAGGGACCCCCCAGGAGTGCTGGCTGCCCTCTGTTCTACTGTGGGCACGTGTTTTTAGCAAGTGACGGAACAGTCTGAAACTGAGTTAGACGATAGCAGCTCATGGTGGCGGTCTCTGAGGATCTGGGACGGGTCCTCATGGGCTTGGGCCGTGCCACACCCAGCCCTCCTCATGCCTCTGTTTGCTCCCCAGGTCCCGGTCCTTCTCCTCGTCCCCATCCCCGTCCCCGACGCCTTCTCCGCACAGACCTTCCGTCAGAACTAAGGGGGAGCCAGCCCCGCCCCCTGCAAAAGCTGGGTAAGTTGCCCATGAGAAGCTCGTGCTCTTGGCTGGCCGGGTCCTCAGAGGCCCTGCCTCCCCTGCCCGTGCCGTGCTGCAGCCACAGAGGTGGAGAAGCCTCCGGGGCTGAGGACCGGGCGTCTGGAAGGGGTTGGGGCTGGGAGGGGCCCTGGTGTCAGATGCCCGGCCTCGGCACCCTCCTCCGTAGGCCTTGGGCGCTGTGCTTCTCCCTGGGGGCAAGCACCTCCATCGGGGTTGCGCCGCAGCTTGGGCACCGCTGCCATTGTCCCCACTGCCATCTGAGGTCTTAGCTGGCAGGCAGGCCTCAGGAGTGGCTTCCCCCAAGCTCCAAGCCAGGAAGTCCGTGGCTGTGTCTGAAAGTAGCAAGGGTGGACGGCCACTGGGCCACGTTGCTCCTTCTCAACGGCTGGAATGGTAACGTGCAGCAGATCTAAAACATGCTGGCCGGGAGGAAATGTTTGTAGGGACATTTTCTCTGCGCCCCAACGCCCCGGCAAGCGCACTGAAGCAGGCGGGGATGGCCCGCGAGTGTGTCTTATCCCAAGTGAGGCATGGCTGGCTGTGCTGACGCCACGTGGCCCAGCAGGAAGCAGCGTCACAGCACCTGTGCACAGGACACGCGGCTCGCCCAAGGGTGGGGCTCCTCCCAGCCACTCGGGCCCTGAGCCGCCTTCTGCCCACAGGGAGAAGCCAGTGAAGAAGCCGGCCCCGCCTCCCGCCCCACCGCAGGCCACCAAAGCCACCCCCCCTGCCCCTGAGCCCGCCAAACCAGGAGACCCTCGAGAAGCCAGGAGGAAGGAGCGGCAAGCCAGGACACCCCCCAGGAGGTGAGCGCCCGGCATTCGGTGCCCCATGGAGTCGGCGGTGCCCGCGCACCGAGCCCCGACACACATGGCTTTGGCCAATCGTCCACTCCTGGAGCCTCCATGTCCCCGCCGCGGGGTGGGGAGAGGCGCGTGGCGGGCGTGCCGTGCAGTCTTCCCAGGGGAGGCAGCGGCTGTCTTTGCACTGCAAAGTGCGGTCCCTGAGATACTCAGTTCCGAGTCAGGGGTGAGTTCCCGAGGTGGGGGCTGCCCGGGGCCACGGTGGCCGGCTCTGAGCCGTGGTGCGGCTTGTGTTGCAGGCGGACACGCAGTGGCAGTGGCAGCAGCAGCAGCTACAGCGGCTCCAGCTCTCGATCCAGGTCATTGCTGGGCCCTGGCTGGGTCCCCTCCCCAGGTCCCCTCCCTGTCAGCGTGGCCGCTTCTCCCTCCCAGGAAGAAGCTCTGCGGGAGTGTCTCCCCAGGCACTCAGGGTCTGGTCACCGGGCACATCAGGCTTGGCTTTGGCAAGGGAACTCACTCCGGCGGAACTGCCTGTGGGATGAGGGTTGTCTTCCCTTCCGCCCTGGGGTTGAGCGAGACCTCTCACCTGGCTTTCAGTCTCTCCCGTGGGCTGAAGCCACCTCCCTTCTGCTGTATGTGGCCAGGGCTCCTCTGTCCAATTCTGTCCCCACTGCTGGGTCAGTTCGGTCCTGTTCCCCTTCCCAGCAGGTGCCTGGCGCTTGCTAGTGAGACGGCCGTGCAGTGGCCCAGGTCCCCCCTGCCCAGAGTCCCCCAGAGTCTCGTGTTCCATAAAAACACAGTGGGTGACAGTGGCCTGTGGGGACGCTAGTGGCCCCCATCCCGGCCGGGGCCGTGGCCGGGGCCGTGGCACAGGCGTGCATGTGTGTGTCCAGGTCCCTGAGCGTGAGCAGCGTCTCCTCGGTGTCCAGCGCCACGTCCAGCAGCAGCTCTGTGCACAGCGTGGACTCGGAGGACATGTATGCGGACCTGGCCAGCCCCGTGTCCTCCGCCAGCTCCAGGTCCCCGACCCCAGCGCAGACCAAGAAGGAGAAAGGTACGTGGGGCCCCTGGCGTCCGGGGGAGCGTGGCGCTGCGGGGAGACTCGCAGGAGGAGCACGGGAAGCCGTCCCCGCGCCCCCGTGCCCCCGTGACCGCGGGCTTGTCGCTGGCAGGGAAGTCTAAGAAAGAGGATGGCGTCAAAGAGGAGAAGCGGAAGAGGGACTCATCCACGCAGCCGCCCAAGTCTGCGAAGGCCCCGGCAGGCGGGAAGTCTTCCCAGCAGCCCTCCACGCCCCAGCAGGCCGCCCCGGGGCAGCCGCAGCCGAGCTCCTTTGTCCCCCACAAGGAGATCAAGCTGACGCTGCTGAACAAGGTGAGGCGAGGCCCTGCTGGCGCTGCCTGATGCCCAGGCCGCCAGTGTGGGGCGGTGGGAGCTCCTGGCGCCCGTTCCTCTGTGGGGGAGCCTGAGTGAGGTGCCGGCCCCACCCTCAGCATCCCCCCCAAGTCTGCACAGGAGGCGGGAAGGGCGTGAGGCCCGGCCCACTTGGGTCCCCTGCACCCCCGTAGGGACCCGAGGGCAGCAGACAAGGCCGCAAGTGCCTTCCCGGGAGCCTGAAGGGCCCAGACGCACAGTAGCCGTGCCTTTGGCCCGGCAGGGGAGCCCTCCTCCCTGGGGGGCTGCAGGGCCACATGGGCATGTGGCGGGGGACCCTGACCCCAGAGGGGGTCACGTGGGAGCAGAGGGCAGGCTGCTGGTGAGGTCACCGCAGGTGCAAGGACACTGCTGTGTCCTCACTGGCCTCTCCCCTGCCTCAGGCGGCAGATAAAGGCAGCAGGAAGCGCTATGAGCCGTCAGACAAGGACCGGCAGAGTCCTCCTCCAGCCAAGCGAGCCAACTTGTCCCCAGACCGAGGTGAGCCGCCCCGGCACGCAGAGCCAGCGGGGCCAGCAGTGCTCAGGCTGCTGGAACCCAGCACCCCGTTTGCTCTTAAAAATATGAGGAACCCAAAGAACTTGCGGTTTTGTGGTTGTAACAGTAGTAAACCACTATTTTAACATAAATGCCATTTTTTATTAAAAATAACTATTTTCTAAAACAGCAGGAGGCGTGGAGATTTTCATGAATCTTACTGTCTGACAGGCAGAAGACACCTGGCCTGTCGGCCCTGGGAGGGCACATGCCAGTGGCCTCTCTGAACCCTGGGCTCCTGGGGACGGAGTGAGAGCAGACAGTGTCCCCGTGTCACTGTGGGCTGGGTGGACCCCAGCGTCCTGGGCCACACCTCGAGAGCCCCTGCCCGGGTGGAGAGACCAGATCTTTCTGGCCGGCTTCGATGGGCAGAGCTAAAACCCACGTTTCCTCCCTGAAATAGAGGCAGAGAAGCCCCCCACAGACAGACGGGGGGCGGGGAGGGGGGGGGCAGGCAGGGCCTGGGGTCGGAGCCGGCCACGGGGCTCCCGCTGACCCTCAGCCATCTCGAGCCTGCCGTGCCGGGCGGCGACCCCCACACCGTCTCGGCGGTGGGGGACAAGACACGGCTGAGCTCTCATTTTACTGCCGTGGCTTTCTTGCGTAGTGAAGACCTGTGCAGTACGCTTTTTCAAAGCCAGGGGAGTTCTGTGTCTCGTCAGATAGTGAGCGCTCCCACACCTGCAGCGCCGTCCCGCCATGGCAGCGACGCTGGGGTGGCCTGGGCGCCTGGCGCTCCGCTGCCTCTGAGAGCGCGGGAGCGTCCTGCTGCCCCAGGCTTTCATCTCTGCCACCCCTGTGGCCAGCACCTGGTCCTAATGTCCGTCCCCATGTCCAGGTTCTCGGGACCGGAAGTCTGGTGGGAGACTGGGCTCCCCGAAGCCAGAGCGGCAGCGAGGCCAGAACTCCAAAGCCCCTGCGGCTCCCACAGACAGGTGAGTCCCGCCCAGGCCCTGGACACAGCCAAGGCGCTCGCCGTGGGGCGGTACAGGGACAGGACGGCCAATTCGGTTTGTCCAGGGCAGGTTTCTGCAGCACCTGCAGCGCTGCCTGTGGTGGGGGGGACCCGCCACAGCCCCGCCCCAGCCCTTGATGTGTGCAGGCTGGGACCTGGCGTGGTTCCCGAGACCTCCCCAGGGAGCCCTGGGCACAGAGGGGCCGCAGGAGTAGGGAGGCTGGGTTAGGAGCGAGAGGAGGGGCTGGGCCCCCGCCAGGGCTCTGCTCCTGGGAGCCGGAGCAGCCGCAGCTGGGAGGCTGTGGCCAGAGCGCCCGTTCCTGCCCCGCGTGCTGCCCTGCCGGTGCTGGGCAGGGACTCTGCCGGGCGGGGACGGCCACACTGCCCCCTCCACCTGCAGACGCAGCTCGGGGGTGGGCTGGGGTGGGGGGTGTGCCCTGTCCCCTCTCAGGCAGGGTCCCCTCCCCCCTTGCAGGAAGCGCCAGGTGTCACCGCAGTCGAAGAGCTCCAGCAAGGTCACCAGCGTGCCAGGCAAGGCCTCGGACGCCGGCGCGGCCGCCAGCACCAAATCAGGGAAGGCCAGCACGCTGTCGCGGCGGGAGGAGCTCCTGAAGCAGCTCAAGGCGGTGGAGGACGCCATCGCGCGCAAGCGCGCCAAGATCCCCGGGAAGGTGTAGCGGCCGCCCGGCCCTGGCAGACTTCACGTTTTTATAAATAGGGTGAACACAGCCGTTTTGGATTTTGCAGTTAATGTCTTACTTTGGCTGTGATTCTTTTTAAAAATTAAAAAAAAAAAAAAAAAAGTTTCTCAGCCGGAAAAGAAGCCACACACACGCACACACACACGCGCGCACACACACACACACACACACACACACACACACACGGAGCGACGAGACGCAGCCTCCCGCCAGGCAGACAGGTCAGCGCGAGCGACACAGCACCGGTTCTGTAAATTATACGCCCGCCCGCCAGCCTGGCCCGCGCCGCCTCCCTGCCCGGCAGGCCGCCTGCCGCGCCAGTCCGGCACCACGGCGCTGACTCCCTCGACTGCTGGCAGCATCTCCCGTCCTCACTCGCCCCAGGATCAAAAATATATATATTCTTGACTACGGTCTCATCAGGAAACGTTTCCTGTCTTTTATTTTAAACATCAAATTGTTTTAGTTGATTTAAAAAGGAAAAAAAAATCCAGAAGAAAAGACCAAAAAAAAAGGCTAAGGGTATTGTTGGGGCGTCTGTCTAATGTGGAGGGTCTTTTTTGAGGGGTCTCCTAAAATAAAATATTTTGATAAGCAGTTGTTCCTCCCCTGTGCTCTGTGCCTGGCGCTGCCCCTGACAGGGAGGACGCAGTGGAGACAGAGGCCGGTCTGCGCTCTGGGTCCCACCCTCTCACCTGCCTGGCCAGACCCCTGTGGAGCGCCGTGCCTCAGTTTCCCCAGCCCTGTCCCCTCTGAGTGGGGCTTCTTGGGGCGTGAGCTGGTGGCCACCTTCGCAGCCCTGGGCCTGGGCAGGTCGGCAAGGGGGTCCAACCCCAGGGAGGGGTCACGGCGTGTATCCCAGGGACCAATGGCCCCCAGGGTACTGGCTGCTGTCTGTCCTCCCAGCTCCGTTTGGGGGAGGCTCACTCCACCCAGCCTCGGGGACCCATGAGGTCAGTGGCAACTAAAGGCAGGAGAAGGAGCAGGGGCCGAGGGAGCCCCGCCAGACCAGGTCTCCCCCCGAGGGCCCTGGGTCCCCTCCATGCAGAGCCAGGTGTGAACTGGCAGCTGGTGGCAGTGGCCCCAGCTTGGCTGTCCCTCCCTCTGGGGACCCTGGTGCAGAGAGCCCCATCCTGGGAGGGTGCCAGACCCCGCCACCCACTGCACCACAGGTCAGTGGAGAGAACCCTCCGGGCCCGGGAGCTGGGGGCGGGTGGGCCTGGGTGGCAGGTGGGTGCTCCCTGGCTCCTCCCCTCAGGGAGAGGGCGGCTCCCCTGGCCCAGCACGAGGCGGGGGCAGCTCACACTAGGGAGACCCTGTGGCTGCAGCCCCTGCCCCTGCCTGCCCGCTCCCCCCAGCACGCCCCTCCCCCACCTCCGAGCTCCCGCCCACGTACCTGTAGGCCCACAGGAATCCCTGCCAGGGAAATCCCACCGGACAGGGGAGAGCCAGGCACGGCGCCATGACCTCAGGGAAGGTGCCGCCCGGTCCACCCGCGGTTCCCATCGGCCACCCCACTCGGTGCGGCTGGGCCAGCCGGCCACAGCACGAACCCTCCGGTTCCCACACTCAGCTGTGACTCGCCCGGCCGTCACCCATCAGGTTTTCAGTTCTGGCCGCCTTCTCCCCGCTGGGAAGGACCCGTCCTGCCACCAGCAGCCACAGAGGGGCTGAGGCCAGCGGTGGCAGACCCCTCCTGCGGACCGCCCCCCAGCCAGGCCCACCCCCTCCAGGAGGGCGGCTGCAGGGCCCCCAGCTGTGGGTCCTTGTCCCCTCACGCCTTGTTACTGGGGCTGGGGGCGTGGCCTGAGGATGTGGTCAGAGCAGCAGCCTGACCCAGCCACCACCTCCAGGATGGCCTCAGGCCCTCCTCCCACTGCCTTTCCAGTCTTGCCCAACCCGGGACTTCTACAGTTGCCTCAGTGGCCACAGGAGCAAGACACCACCCGGACCCCTGCTCCGCCTCCCTTGGGAATGTCTCCCCGGGACCGGCCATCAGGGCCCCCCCACCCGGACAGCCGGGGACGCGCCATGGGGAAGGGCCTGCACGGGTGGGCATGCGGCCCTGTCTCGGGCTCACCTGCAGCCCTCACAGCAGGTGGGAAACAGCCTGGACAGCACGGCAAGACCCGTCTCTACAAAAGACAGAAAAAGCAGCACAGCTGAGGAGGCTGGGGCCAGAGGAGCGCTGGGGCCCGGGGGCCTGTGCCTGGGCCCGCCTGGGAGGACGACTTGGTGGGAGGAAGCAGGAACTCCCTGTGGCCACAGGAGCTGGGCTCACCGGCCTCTGCCTCGAGTCCATCCAGCCCGGGGCCTCCTGCAGGTTCAGGGTCACGGTGGGGTCCTCGGAGGACACCCCTGTCCCTGGGGGGCTCCCTGCTCCTGTTCACTCACTCAGTCCCCGTCACGCTTCCCACTTACCTGTTGCCCTTCTCACCCACTTGGCTGACCTCACTGCCCCGACCAGGCCCCGCCCAGAATCCCTGGGCCTGGTGCCAGGTGGGGTCACCGGCCTCACCTGGGGGTGGGGCTTTCCCCCCCCCTTTCCTTGGACTCCTGTTTCCTTTTCCTCGTTCCCTCTGGCTTCTCCTTTTCTTCTCCTGCCCTCTCCCCCTCCTCCCCTCACTTCCCAGCGGCACAGTGTATGGTTGAGCAGGTTGTGCACTGCACAAGGGCTCCCAACTGAAATCACCTTTTCCTTCCATTCCCACCCTGCGCCCTGAGGAAGGCACCTTGTGGATCTCGGTGGCCCCAGTTGGTCCTCTCTGCACCTCTGCCTCCTTCTCCCTGTGCCTTCCCCCTGCCTTTTCCTCCCCTGAGCCTGCCATCCCCGGGAAACCCCCTCGACCCACAGACTCAGGTGTTGAGGCAAGAAGGTCCCTGAGATGCCAGGTCAGAGCACCCTGCCCCCGGCACGCCCTGCACCGGTCCACGCGTCCCGTCCCAGGGGCTGACGTCCAGCAGCCACAGCTGGGCAGGCGGGGGTGGGGGGGAGCAGTGTGCATGCTGGGGGCAGTCCAGCCCTGCCAGGCCGAGGGAGGGGGTGCCCTGCCCTGGGCCAGGCACAGCTCCCAACACTGGAAACAGGTGGGACCGGCACAGACAGTCCCTGACCCCAAGGAGCTCGTATGACCTTTGGGGGGGCCTCCCAGCCCGAGGGGCGTCTGTCCTGTTAGGGGGTGTAGTGTGGCTTCAATTGTGTCCCCCCTAAAGATCTGTCCACATCCTGACCCCTCCCTACCTGTGAACCTGCCCTTATTTGGGAAAAGGGCCTTTGCTTTCGGATGAGGGTTTCAGGGACTGAGGGACGAGGTCGTCCTGGATCAGGGTGGACCCTAATCCAAGGACCCGTGTCCTCGTAAGACAGAGAACAAAACAGAGAGGCACGGGAGAGGCCACGTGAAGATCCAGGGTATGACAGGCGGCAGAGGTTGGAGCGACGGAGGTTGTGCAGGAGGAAGGCAAAGATGACGGTCACCCGTCCTTGACCATTTGAGATAAAAACAGAACCAACCTGGATGTCCGCCCGCCCACAGGGGAGGTGCAGGACTACCCAGGCCGTGAATCAGGCCCCCTGTCCCCGGGTGCCAGAGCCCCGGGTACATGGGACAAGTGGGATCAGAGCCGAGAGTTGCTGGGGGCTCGGACCGAAACGCTCTCACAGGAGGCGGGGGCGAACCCAGCCAGGGCAGGACCACGCGTGGCTCTGTGCGCAGGTGCTCCAGATGGGTGGGGTCCCGGGGGGAGGACAACAGGATGGGACCTCACGGGGGCTCCACGCGTGTCTGTGACGTGATGCACAGAGGGGTGGGGGACCCGCGGGGACAGGAGGAGGAAGTGCCTGTGGCTGGGCACTTCCCAAGGAGGAATCAGTGCCCGGATTTTCCCCAGGTGTGGCCAAAGGTATAAAGAGCCGGGGCCGCCAGGTCCCTCGCCAGGTGCACTACTGGGACAGCCGCTAGGCGTGCAGGCTGCTGCGAGCCCACGATGGTGAGCCTGGCACAGCTCCCGGCATCCCCACCAGACGGTGCAGCCGGGGTTCCCCGAGCCCTGGGACCAGGACTTCGGGATGGGCCTGGGAAACCCCGTCTGGAGGGAGGGGAGGCAGCCCCACCAGGCCCTAGGAGCCCTGGTGTGCTGGGTGCCTCTGGGCCCCATCTGTAGAGGGAGGGCTGTACCCCAGCTTTCCCTTGGGAACAGAGCAAGCTGGGTGGCAGTGAGGCGCCCCTTCACCGGGCACCCCCTGACCACTCACCCGCCTGTGTCACCAGCTCCTCCCCAGCCTCTTGCTTCTGACCTGGTTGCTCACCAGCCTGGCCCACCATGACCCCCCGCTCTGGGGGACGCCCCACTCTCACGGGGCCCCCCGCTGCTACTCGGCTGAGGAACTGCCCCTTGGCCAGCCACCCCCACACCTGCTGGCTCGAGCTGCCAAGTGGGAGCAGGCCTTGCCCGTGGCCCTGGTGTCCAGCCTGGAGGCGGCCGGCCACAGACGGCAACCTGAGGGGCGCCCGGCTGAGCCCCAGTGCCCGGTGCTGCGGCCGGAGGAGGTGTTGGAGGCGGACACCCACCAGCGCTCCATCTCGCCCTGGCGATACCGGTGAGGGCTGCGGCTGCCCCCCCAGGGCGGGGCGTTCTCACCTGCCCCATGGCACGGCGCCCGCCCCTTGGCAAACCCATTGACCCAGCCCGAGGCTACTGGCTGCTGCTGGCCCTGGACCTCAGCCCAGACCTTGTCATCAGGGGCAGGGGAGAAATACCGCCCCTGCACCACCCTCCTTTCCCCTTCTGGCCACTTCCTGGGCTCCAGGATGCAGGAGCAGGGGGCGGGGTCCCTGGGGAGGAGCGCAGGGGGCGGGGGGACGCAGTCCCTGGGGAGGGGCGCAGAGGGCGGGCGGGACGGGGCCCCTGGGGAGGGCGCTTGGGCAGGGGGCGGGGCGCAGGACCAGTGGGCTGGCTGCGAGGAGCTGGGCAGCGCTGGACTCGGAGTCTCATTGCCCGTCCCCGCAGCGTGGACACGGACGAGGACCGCTACCCGCAGAAGCTGGCCTTCGCCGAGTGCCTGTGCCGCGGCTGCATCGACGCCAGGACGGGCCGCGAGACGGCCGCGCTCAACTCGGTGCGGCTGCGCCAGAGCCTGCTGGTGCTGCGCCGCCGGCCCTGCTCCCGCGCCGGCGCGCCCACGCCCGGGGCCTTCGCCTTCCACGCCGAGTTCATCCGCGTGCCCGTCGGCTGCACCTGCGTGCTGCCCCGCTCGGCGCGGTGACCGCGGGGCCTAGGGCCTCCCGGACCGAGCGCCGCCTATTTATGTGTATTTATTGCTATTTATGCCCCGCAGCCGCCCTGGGGCTCGGACCAGGCCCTCGAGCTCCCTCTGTCCAGCCTCCCCCGGAGGAAAAAGTGCCCCGTCTATTTTATTAAACTAATATTTATTTTAAATGTAAACGTGTCTCGGAACTGATAAACACGTCCCTCGCCACTGGCGCGACTCCAGCATGTCCTTCCAGAAAGGTCTGTGGTGGGCCAGCGGGTGCCCCAGGGTGGCGCGCGCTTCCCTACGGAGGGGAGCCCGGGTGTGCGCGGCGCTGTTTCCACTGCGGCCCCTGGAGGTGGCTCCAGACCGGGGCTCGGACAGGGCTCGGCGCCCGACATCCAGGGGAGGACCCCGGGACCGGAGGAGGGTCAGCGTGAGCCCCCGGGGGTCTTGGGTATCTGGCCCAACCGCCACGGCGAGTCGCCCTCCTCAGAGGGAGCGCTACCCACGCCCCCACCCCGGCGGGCAGGTCCTCGAGGCGCTGCTGGGGGTGCTCGGCGGGGGGCGGGGGGGGTGCAGCAGCGTCCGTCGCTGAGGAGCCAGGCCTCAGCTCCGCAGGCGGACATTGCCCTAGGGCGGCCCGCAGGTGTCACGCCCCGCCTTGCCCCCCCCCAGTCTTTCACCCGCCGATGAGCGCCTGCTGTGTGCAAGGCGGGAGGCTGCGAGGAGAGCAAGCACTCACACCTGGGAGCCTCAGGTGCGGCGGAATCTTCAGCTCGCCCTTACTGAGTTTCCAGTAAGTGCCCGCACGGGACAGGGCCGCGAACGGAACGGACGCGACCCTCCCTCCCGAGGCCCGGTCTGAGATGAGCTGGGGGCAGAGGCTCGGGGAGGGGCCTCCTCCGCGACGCCCAGCGAGACCTGGAGGACGGGGCAGCGCGCAGCCACCAGGTTCCAGCCGGGCCAGAGAGGTCAGTGCGGCGGCGCGGGGGCGCGGACGCGGTGGGGACGGGGCGCGGACGCGGTGGGGACGGGGCGGGACGCGGCTGGAACCCGGACTCGCGCTGGAGACAGGAGGGTGGGCCGAGGGGCGGGGGTCAGGGTGACCGAGGAGGCTTTGCGGGACCCTCCGGAGGCGGAGTCGCCGTTTCTTGCGCGGGGCGCGCCGAGCGTCGATTCGCCCCGAGGGCGGACTTGGGGCGCGGGGCTGAGGCCAGGCCCACCCTGGGGTTCCCGCACCGTGGGGGCCGCGTCCCGGGGCAGACCGATGTTGGGGCGTCGCCCCGTCCAGGCTTCCGCGGCAAGGCAGCCCCTAGGCGCAGAGCGCGCCCAGTCCACAGGGTCTGCCCGCGTGGGCGTTGTGGTCAGCGCCCGCAGGGTGGCCCGGCCGGGACGCGCCACGAAAACCGGCATGGGACCCATCCGGAGACAGAGGGACGGGCGCGTGGGCTGGGGGGGAGAGATCGACGCCCTCCCTCACCTTCCCGCCCTCCCACCTCCCTCCCGCGTGTCCTACCTCGGCTCCCCTCCCCACCCTGCCGCCCCCTCCTCCCTCACCTGCCGCCCCTCTCCCACCTGCCCGCCCCTCCTCCACTGCCACCCCGCCGCCCCTACCTCCTCACCCACCTGCCCGCCTCCTCCCACCTGCGCCCCTGGAGGAGCCGGTCCGGACAGTCACAATGCCTTATAGGGCGCCACCCGGTGGCCGCGCGCAGGTCCGTAGGCGACGTTCACACCACCGTGGATCACGGGAGGTTGGTTGGGGCGCCCGCGGAGACCCCGCCGCTGCCGCCGCCTCCTCCCCCTCGCTCGGCTTCTTGCGGCCTTCGGCTGGGGGCCCGGGGCCGGGGGTTTCTGGGCGGCTGCTTGATGTGCCGATTGCAGCCGTTGGGCTTTTGGCTCGAATGGCGTCCACTGCTCCCCCGCGCACGGACCGAGCCCTGCGGGGCACGTTGAGGGCCCGGGACACTTCAGGTCGAATCTCCGGGAGGGGGCGCGAGGGTTTTGGCATTCGCGGCTGGGAAGGTAGGCACCTATTGGGAATAGTCGTAACTGCCTGCCCCAATATGCCTATTGTGAGGGACCCCCAGCAACTCAAAGACAGTGGGCCCCGGAACCCCTGGGCTTCTGCAGATGCCCTGGTGGCCCCCACTTCCAGCACGAATCCCAAGATCCACCCGTACAACCCCCAGGCTCCTCTCCCCAGGACCCAAAAGCCAGGTAAGACAGGGAGGGCCTGGGAGAGCAGGGTCCTGTTCACTCCATTCACTCCTGGACCCCACTGGCCTTGCACCCCCTCCCCAGGGCACTCGACAGTTTCCACGAGCATGGGGGTGAACTTGAAGCCTGCACGCATGGATTGAGGTGGGTGTTCTAAAAAATACATGATTTTGCCACCGGTGGCTCACGCCCTGTAATCCTAGACTCTGGGAGGCGGGTAGGGTGGATTGCCCAGGTCAGGATTTAAAATCAGCCTGAGCAGAAAGCCAGACCGTTCTCTACTAAACACACAGAAAAAATAATTAACTTGGCCAAACTAAAAATACGATGTAGAAAGAAATAAGCCAACGGTGCATGGTGGCGCATGCCTGTAAGTCCCAAGCTACTCACGGAGGCGGGAGGCAGTGAGGACGCTTGACCAGGAAGTTTGAGGTTGGCTGTGAGCGAGGCTGAAACGCCAACCGGCAACTCAACTTCTAGTCTGGCAAACAAAGCAAATGAAACTGGCTGTCTCAAAAATAAAATAAAAAAATAAAAAAAATTAAAAGACAAGACTCCTGGGCCCACCGCCC